TTTTTGTGTATGGTGTGAGGTAGTGGTCAAGTAGAAGCAAGTTTCTTAGTTGATGTAGACCAGGTTAATTATTCTTTTTCAGAATACCATGAGCTTCCTTTCAATTAAACACATTCAAACAGAGTAAAGTGTTAATACCCAAAACTAAAACCTTAGGGCATGTTTGTTGCTCTGTAGCCAGGCGCAAAGCCTCCGTGAGGGTGATAAGCCCAGCTTCTTGGGATGTGCTCTTGGGAATAGGGGCCTGGTATAAATAATGTGATAACTATCATTGTAAGGGTTGTCTGCTATTATTGAAAACCCCGTTCCTGGCTGTGGTGTTTTGATGGAGCTCCCATCTATGAAGCAGTCTGGGGCCCCAGGAATGCAGGTGTCTTGAATGTGGGCACAAGGAATGTGTGCTAGGTCCAGTACTTCAGGACATGAGTGAAGCTGATGTCCAGGAGATTTGATTTCCAGAAGGAGCATAGCAGGGTTGAGGGTGTTAATTCGGTGTAGGGTGATGTTGGGGTTAAGAAAGTGAGCATGGAGCAGCTGAGCTCAGGAAACGGGTAAGGCAGAGAAAGTTCAATGGCTGAGAAGGTCTTAGAGAGAATGTGAGGATAGGACCTGAGGGTTGGTGACAGAGTCCAATTGTTTTGATAAATAGGCCACTGGAAGATATGTGTCACCTCTCTTTTTACAAAGGAGGGTGAGGGCGTGTGCCTTGGTCGAGTGGATAAAGAGAAAGAGGTAGAAAGGTTGGTGGGGGGTGGGAAGGGCTAGGGAAGGGACGGAAAAGGTGGGGGAGTGAGTGGATGAGGGCCTTGGGGGGGATGCCAGGGGTTTCTGAAGGTCACCTCAGGTAGCCTCGTAGAGAGGTTTGGTTACGAGAGAAGTTAGGGATCCACATGTGGAAAAACTGAAGAGGCCAAGAACTGAGAAGAGGTAGGGGAACATCCTGGAGGGCCTTGAGGCAGTCGGGGGAATGGTCCAGGGACCAGGAGATATAAGAAGGCCAAGATAGGTGACAGATGGTTGGGACAGTTGGGCCTTGGCCCTGGAGATGCAGTGACCCCAGGAGGCCAGGGCCTTGAGGAGGCTGGCAGTATGAGCCTGTCTAATGGGCTCTGATGGACTACAGAGGAGGAGGTCATCTGCATACGGAAGTAGGGAGCTAGGCTTAAGGTCTAGCATGGCTAGGTCTGATTGGAGGGCCTGACCATAAAAATGTGTGCTGTCCCGAAAGCCCTGTAGCAGTACAGTCACATGAGTTGTTGGGAGTGATGGGTGTCTGGGTCTGTCCAAGTGAAAGTGAACAGGGGCTGTGACTCTTGGTGTAGGGGAATGGTAAAAAAAAGGCATCCTTTAAATCAAGGTCAGTGAAGGGAGAAGTGCCCGGAGAAACTAGGGAGAAAGGGTTATATGAGTTAGGGACCACAGGGTGGGTGGGGGTGGTGGCCTTGTTGACCTGTCTGAGGTCCTGGACAAGGTGGTACTGGCCGTTGGGTTTACGAATTCCAAGGATGGGGTTGTTGTGGGAGCAATGTGTTCAAATAAGGAGGTGTGCCTTGAGAAGGCGGGGATGGGGGGATAGGGGTTGGGTGTTTACGGGTTTAAGCCCCCTGAGTGTTTAAATAGTGAGAGGATATTGTTGAGCCCTAACCAAGGTGGTGGGGTTTTGGCGTATGACTCTGACAGGGGGTGGTGGGTGGCTATCCGGAGGTTAACCATGTCCCAGACCCGAGGATCCATGTGTGGGTCTGGGACAGGAAGTGAGGTTTGAGGAAGAAGGCTTGCACTCCGAGTGTCAGTTTGCAGAGAAAGGGACATGTACCAGACTGGGCCCTCCATGCTGCCACCTCAAGTAAGGGGAGCACAGGTTTGGGTTGAGGCTGGGTCTGGGAATGAGTGTGGGGGCATGGTCTGGTCTGGGGCTGAAAGGGAGTGTCTGCAAGAAGGAACTAATGAGGTGAGCAAGTTTTGTGGAGAGAAGGGCGAGAGCGAAGAGCAAAGAAAAACCTGCACTTAGGGGACCTCAGACCATTTGCCATTTCGATGGAAGAAATTATCCAACTCTTGGAAAATGTCAGGATCAAGAGTGCCGAATTCAGGCCATCGGTTGTTACTGTCTAGGCTGCAAGTGGGCCAGATATGGGTAGAGAGCTGAATGAGCCATTTGAACTTTAGATCTGGGGTCAACCCCATCTTATATTTTTATTATTTTTTTTAATTTTTTACAACTTTTTCATTTTTAAACAATATTTACTTCCCCACCCCCTCAGATGGTGACAGGGTTGGTGAAAGGGTTGATGACAGGGTCCAATTGTTTTGATAAATAGGCTACTAGAAGGTATATGTCACCTCCCTTTTGACAAAGAAGGGCAAGGACCTAAGCCTTGGTCGAGTGGATAAAGAGAAAGAGGTAGAAGTGTTAGTAGGGGTTGGGAATTTCCTTCCCCAAGGCACCCTTGCACCATCACCTCAGTCCCCTGTGTTCCTCCCTCCCTCCCTCTGATCCCTCTCCCTCCCCCTCCCCCTCCCCTGCAGGGTATCTCTGATTTATAATTGTCCATTTTTGCTTTGTTATGTTTTGTGCTGTTATTATTTTTTCCCCTGATGTCTTATTTGTTTCCCCTATATTCCCCTATCCCATTTTTAGAGAGGTTGTGGAGGAGACATCCTATAGGAGACCTGGGGGAGATGATGGGGTGTTGCCCATATGGGGCGTGGAAGCTCAAAAGAAGGCAGAGATCGAAGGGGGCCTTTAATGGTGGCTGTAAGAGCAGAATCCAACAGGCGTCCCTGTGGTTCTGTCTACCCACGTCTCCAGTTCAGCTACAGGAGGGGGTCACCATGACCCTAGATGAGATCCCATGAGGCACCTGCACAGGATGGAAGAGGTAAAAAGGAGGTAAGAAGGGAGGAGAAGGGACAGAAAGAGACAGAGAGAGAAGAGGGGGAGGGAGCAGTGACAGGGTATAGGCATCAGCTGTCTGGTTAGTGTGGGGATTAGGGGATCCTACCTCCAACACTGACCTGTGGTGGACATGGTCGGACAAGAGGGCAGAATGGTCCTTCATCTGATGGCCCAGAAAGTCAGAGTGAGGACTAGCAAATTGAGGTTTGCCAGGAAGTCCAATAGAGGACTAGGACAGTACTTTCTCCGCTCAAGCAGCAGTGAGGCTGCGGGGGTCCATACTCCCATTGGGAGGAGGACCCCAGGTCCACTTCCATTTAGCCTTAGTGAACTGGGAGTATTCCTGGGTCCTCAGAAGCTTAGGGAGGGAAACAGAGTCGGGGGAGGGAGGAAGGAAAGAGCAGAAGCCAGGAGGAAGAGGGGGAGTACAGGCCAAGGCCTAACTCCACATCCTCAACCTGGGTTTCCCACCAGGTTGTTAGAAAAGAAGGAAGCCAACTGCAGCACGAGTTTGATCCCCGGCCAGGGAGCAACCCACATGGCGCAGCAGACCTCTCCTGACTTGTCCACTGCTCCCCTCAGCAGCGTATTTCAGTCAGTCTGCCTGTTCTGTTCCCTACACTGTCTCTGGCGAATCCTCTTACCTCTCCGCACCTCTGGCCCACACCCCAGCTCTTGTATGCATAAATAACTAAATATTTAAAAAAGAAGAAAAAGAAGAAGAACGAAGCCAAGAGTATCAGACTGAAGCAGACTTTATTTAGCAAAATGTCCGTGAGGGCAGCTCTTGGCTTCAGCAGAGTGAAACTTGCGTTCCAAAATTGGAGAAACAGGTTTATATAGGGTTGGGCTGCTGCAGGAATTTTTGGCACACATGGGCGGTGGGGTTCTCTACTGCGGGGGTGGAGGGGGGAGTCTGCTGCAATTCCCTACTTCCCTCAGCTTATCTCTGGTTCTGCCACGCCAGTTTTACGAGGGGCCCTTATGTGCTCATCAATATGGATAGGTCATAAACATTTATTTCAGGAAATAACTCTCATGGGCAAGGCCCCCATCTAAATTCTAGGTGGTTAAGGGAGACACAACAGTTTCTCAACCCTTCAGGGTCCCAATTGCCTTCAGCACTAAACAATCTGCATGCCAAAGTGGAGGCTGTTCTGAATCCCTTTCTGGGGTAGTGGGAAAGCCACCCCCAGCTCTCTGAGAACTGACCCAGCAGGTCTCAGGGCTGTTTGTGGGCCATCTGTTTAGGGGAACCAGCAACTGCCTAGCCTCTGTTTTTCTTCCTCCTTCCCTTCTGCCTTTCTCAGGGTTCATCAGCTCCTCCAGAGTTTACCTCATGCATTGTTTTCCCTCAAGAGTGAATGCCCATCAATACTTAATCTTTCATCTGCACCCTGTATTTCCAGACAGGATCTTCAGTTTATTTGGATCATTTCTGTTTTTGCTTAGGCCTTGCTGCTTTACAACAGCATAACTTTGTCTTAAAACAGTCCTTCTCCCACAAAATATATCAGAAACAGTTACAGTCAGGAGTACCAGTGTCAGTGTTGTAATAGTAGAAGTCACAATTCCCACTAGACATTTCCATGCCTGGAGGTATTTTTCTGGAGTTAGAGAAAAGGGGAGTCCCCTCATCAGCTATTTCTCACAGAATGGTGATGGCATCACCTCTCAGCCCCACCTCCTCCTTACCCCCAGGTGGCCCCAAATCCCCTCTGAAAGGGTGCTGGTTCAGGTATCAGCATGGCAACCTCTAAGTCTTGGGGTGGGGGTGGAAAGGGGAGGGTATAGAAGGCTTAGATCAAATGTCCTGAGTGAGGCAAGCCCCAATTATCCCCAACACAAGCAACTGGGAAGTCACTACCATAGACTGCCCATTTTGGATTGAGCCAGTCCCAGCATGAACTAAAACTGTCCACAGACTTGGATTAGTCATGGGACTGAAGAGGAGGAGAAGACAGAGCACTGGCTGCGCCTGGCAGGGAGTCTGGAGTTTCTGGTTTCAAGGTCAGGAAGGCTTGAGCCAGGGGAGGGACCTCCAGGCAAGGGCAGGGCCCCAGTCAGCTATGTAAGGCAGCACAAGCCTAGGCAGCACAGAGCAGAAAGAAGAACCCAACAGACTTCTGGAACTCAGCAAGTGGACACTCCAGCTTTGACCACCCAAGATACTACTCCTGCGCCAAAGACTGTAACTCCATTTGTCATTCTGAAGTCCCTGCTCACCCTGTACCCCAAGGATGGAGCCACTGCTAGGGGTAAAAATTGGCTGTCTGTTTGCCCTGCTGGTCCTCACTCTGCTCTGTGGCCTGATTCCCATCTGCTTCAAATGGTTCAAGATTGATGCAGCCACAGGTATAGCCCTCCCGTATGTCTATCCCCATGTAATCTGGTCTGATTTCACCCCATCACCCTATCATGATTCTCCCACCACTCAAAGCTGCTGGACAAGTAGGGCACTGCCTATTACCCTTTAGTCTTTATCTTCAATCCTTTATCTCTCTCCTCATGGCCAAATGGATTTTCACTCCTGCTATGTATTAGGTCGTCACCGCCGAGTCCTCAGCCTCCTTGGCTGCATTTCTGCCGGTGTTTTCCTGGGAGCAGGGCTTATGCACATGACCGCTGAAGCCCTGGAGGGAATTGAGTCAGAGATCCAGAGGCTCATGGAGAAGGTGAGCAGCAGAAAGGCTGAGCTGCAGGGCTGTGAAGCCAAAGATGAACAGAACCAAGAGAAGAAAGGGGGCGAGTGATGGAGCCAAGGACACGGGTGGAGCAAAGGGAAAGTGCACATCTGCCATGTTGAGTGGGGTGATGAAACAGGCCAGGGAGCTTTAAGAAAAGCAGTGGTGCTGAGGACAGGACAGGAAGCTGAGCTGTGCTGACCCTGTTCAATTGCTGCTTTTGTTTCCTCCCTAGAACAGGACGCAAAGTAAAGGAAAGCCTGATGATCCTGATTCGGCGCATGTAAGTATCTCCCACCAAGACATGGAGAACCAGAAGCTCCTTTTCATAACCTGACCCTTTAGAGGGCAGTGAGTGAGGGATACAGGACCCCTCCTGTTCCTCAGCTCCAACACCACACAGGAAAAGAGGAGCCAAGCCAGTCCTTTGGGTTGATGGAATCCCAGGAAAAAGCTCTTGCTTTTCACGTCCGTTCTTTCTCAACCTTGACATGTTTGATATTATTTCCCTTATTTGTTTTTTATTTTTGGAAGAAAAAGGAAATTTAATCTTGGTCTTCTATTGGTTTTTACTTGGCTCTGGATTACTCCCCTGTAACAATGTAATGCTGCTTCTTGGGGCCCCTTGATTGTGATACTCTGATGTCCGTTATTGATTACCATGGTTTTTTCAGGAAAGCATGAGATCAGTGAAAGTGTCATGGCTTGTTTTTTCCCCACTGTCATCTCTTACGTTCTTTTGTCCCTTTCCCCATCTCTTGCCCTCAGAGCCCTCACAGTATCTGTTGACGTCCTTTAGTTTTTGAAGTGTTTTACCATTGTCAAATTGTCTACTCTGTGACTGTTCAGTATTTGTTTTTATGGTTCTGAATTACTTTGCTGCACGTAAGTCTCTCATTCTTTTTTATGGCTGTATACTACTCTGTGGTGTGGATGTACCACATCTTGATCTGTTCATCCATTGAAGGAGCTTTTAGACTGTTTCTGTATCCTAGCTGTTGTAAATAATGCTGCTGTGAATATTGTAGAACACAAGGATTTTTTGTTGATGGTTTCATATCTGTGGATATATCCCAAGAATGAGATTGCAGATCATACAGTATTTAAATTTTTAAGTTTTTAAGATAAATCCATATTTATGCTTTCCACAATGGTTTCACCAGTTTACATTCCCAACGACAGTGTAAAGGATTCCTTTTTCTCTGCCTCCTTTTTGGTACTCGCTGTCGGCATTTCCCATATTCTAGCCCTATTGATAGGGTGTCACTTAGTCCCTCTCATATGTTGTTGCATGTCTGTACCTACTCTGGACTGCATCCCCTCCCCTTTTCATGTTCTGTTACCCCCGTCTCCCATTCTCCTCAGTCTCCCCCCTTTCTTATCTCCCGGCCCCTCTCTCTCTTCCTAGATGCAGTACCCCTATGGAGAGCTCGTCATCTCCCTGGGCTTCTTCTTCATCTTCCTGTTGGAGTCGCTGGTGTTACAGTGCTGTCCCGGGACCGCTGAAGGATCGACAGTGCAGGAGGAGGAGTGGGGTGGTGCTCATGTCTTTCACCTCCACAGCCACGGACCTCTACCCCCGCCTTCTCAGGGTCCCCTTCGAGCCCTTGTCCTCTGGCTCTCACTATCCTTTCACTCAGTGTTTGAAGGGCTGGCTGTGGGGCTGCAGCCCACAGTCGCATCTACCGTGCAGCTCTGTCTTGCAGTCCTCGCTCACAAGTGGGTCGAGGTGTTCGGGGTAGGGCTGCAGCTGGTGCGGACAGGCACCCAGTCACGGTGGGCCATGTTCTCCATCCTGTCATTAGCTCTCATGTCCCCCATGGGCCTGGCAGTAGGGCTGGCTGTGGCTCAAGGAGATGCTGAAGGGGGCCGAGGCTTAGCCCAGGCTGTGTTAGAGGGGGTGGCAGCTGGCACCTTTCTGTATGTTACCTTCCTAGAAATTCTGCCCCAGGAGCTAGCTGGTTCTGAGATCCCTCTGGCCAAGTGGGCCTGTGTAGCTGCTGGTTTTGCTTTCATGGCTTTTATTGCCTTGTGGGCCTGAGCGATTCCTCACTTTCCTGATTCCCCACCTCCAGGGAACAGGTGCCAAATGGTTTCGGCTGCAGACGTTTTTTCTCTGACAGTAAGTGACTTTCACTAGGCATTGGGCACCTTCCTGCTTCTCCAAGCATGTTGCATCCACATAAGCTGGACCCCAGTTTTTCCCTATATGAGATGCTATTTCTCATCGAGGACTGAAAGAAAAGGATGTTCAAGTTAAGCTCCTATAAATTGGAGAATTAACATGAAAACCGTCACTCCAGATTTGACTCTTGTCCCAAATATGCTGCTGTGTGTAATAAAATGCCCATTTTACCCTTTCCTCAGCCATGTTATACATCATTTCTCTGGTTGTCTGGATGCTGCCTGGCACAGCCAGTGGTGGAGAGGGGATGGGAAGGGGTAACAGCGGGATGCAGTGCTTCCTTCTGGAACCAGGGCACCTGCCAGTCTTGTCAGTTGCAGGCCATGACCCCCAAACATGAGTGCATTGCTGAAATTCCATCAACCCCTTACCACCTTGCCCCCAGGTGTTAAGAAACTGAACCAGCCTTTCCAGCATTTAGAGAGGTTTACAAACAGAAACCATGGGGGTCTAGATTTTCCCCACACTAACCACACTCTCCCCACCACTTTACCTCTTAGATTTATTTTTTATTTATACAATAGCTGAGGTACAGGCCAGAACCCTCCCCCTAGACCACTTGTCTCCAGTTTGTGTAAGCCCTTCATGTGCTACTGTGGCAGGCTGTGCCTCCCATGCTGTCTCCTGACAAGGTCCGGGTATTGGGGGAGACTCCCGAGAAGAGGGGAGTTCCTGTGCTCTCCCGAAGAGGGAAAGTTGTACTTCCCAGAAGAAGGAAGTTCTTGCACTTCCCAAAGAAGATCTGAACTAGGGAGTCTCCATGGCAATGCCTGCTAATGCTCTCCTCTTTGTTCTTGGTTAATGCTGAAGTAAGTTAGTTACAAATTGGCCTGTGAAAACCTAATTCGGACCCAGGTGACAATTGGCTCATTCTTCTTATGCTTGAACTATCACAAAAGAAGTAAAAAATTGTTTAAGGTATAGTTAGGAAAGAAATGTTTTGGCCCTGAGAAATATGGAGAACAAACTGCCCTGAACCAGCTGTGCTCGGAAACCATAGTCTAACCTGGGGGGGTACCTGTTTGTGACAATAATACATTTCCTGGTGTATGCAAGAGGTTAATAATTCGCAGACCGTGTGGAGGTTAGGAATTTCTAGTTAAGAGTTAGACTTCAGTAGAACTTACATAGATCTGATGAATTGTTTTAAACCACTTTGAAGTAATTAATATATTAACCAAGTTAATTGAATGCTAGGAAATAGATTGATTTTAGTAACTGAATATAGAATAGGAACTTTACACCCACGTTTGTAATTGGGAAAGTTTAAATGTTGCCAAATGTTATACTGTTGATCATGCTAGTAAATGAGCTGTACCTAGGAAACTAATTGTTTTTAGGTTACAAAAAAAAATGGCCTACAGGTGTAAGGCCAAGGGAGTCTTTACATGATCATGAGAAAATATGTATTGTCTTTGCTCTGCTTCAATGCTTACACTGATGTAATCCCACCGCTAGCTTTAAGGTATAAATAAAGACCCACTGAGACCCTCAGTAGGAGATACTTGCACGAACTAAAGTGTTTGTGTCTTCCTCACTCCTACCTCACTCCACTTCCCCTCTGCCCTTTGAGAGAAAACTTTCACCGACTCCGTCCTCTCCTTTCTGAGATCCCTGACACGACTTCTAGCTGGGGCTGTTCTCCAGCATGCTACTTCTCTGCACGCTGACTATCTGGAATTGAGGAGGATCAGGTTAACTGTTGCCCAGCTCCTGACCCTTATGGAAGGGTTGTGTCAGAGTTAGCGAGAAATAGGAAAAGAGAAGTTGCATCCCACCAGCTCATCACCCTCACCATTCACCCCTCTCACACATTCCGTGTGGGAGTCCAAGTGGGGACGGGGCTCCTGAGGGTCCTTGTCCTGGCTGCTGCTGTCCAGCGCGCTCTTCCACCTACAAATTAAGATGCACAAACCGGGCCTCCCCGGTGGCCTAGCGGTTGAGCGCTGGGTTGCGAAGCTGCCCGCAGCCTCTGCAGCGCCGGTTCGATCCCCAGCTGCTCCCCGGCCACTGTAGGAGGGTCCCACATGGCGCGCAGACCTCTCCTGCCGCCCGCTGCTCCCCTCAGCAGTGTACTTCGGTCCTTCTGCCTGCTCTGCTCCCAGCTCTGGCTCTGGTGAATTCTCTCACCCTCCCACGCTTCTGACTGTGCCCAGTGCTTGTATAAATAAATAAATAAATCTTTAAAAAAAAAAATGCACAAACCTCCTCACAAAGCCAGCTCGCACACACCGGGACGAGAAAGAGGGCAAAAGCTCAGGTAAAACAATTAAAACATCTTTTTTTTTTTTTAAAGATTTATTTATTTTTATACAACAGCTGGGATACAGGCCAGAGGTGCGGGAGGGTGAGAGGATTCACCAGAGACAGAACAGGAAGCAGAACAGGCAGACGACCGAAATACACTGCTGAGGGGAGCAGCAGGCGCGACAGGAGAGGTCTGCTGCACCGTGTGGGAATCTTCCTGGCCGGCCAGGAATCAAACCCACCTTGGAGAGGCTTCAGACAGCTTCACAGCGCTGCGCTCAACCCACTGCACCAGAAGGGGAGGTCCTGATTCTAATTTAAATCTGCAGAGAGCACATTGGATAGCAAGGTAAGTTTAACAAAGGGAGCATTTAGCAACATGTAGGAAGGTTTGAACTGAGCAACAAATGATGGTGCCATGTCCCGTGGCTTAGTAATAAAAATGCTATTGCCCTGACTGAAGACAGGGCAGCAGTTTCAGAGACTACAGGCAGCCATCCACAAAGTGCTATGGCCTTGGGTAGAGGGACACAACCAACCTGCAGGGACTTGATGAGGAATCCAGAGAAATCTGTCACTCTCTTGTTTGACTTACTGCCAATATCTCCTATCAGCCATACACAGACAGACTCCAAAGGACAAAAATGTCTGTTGGTGCATTGTAGATACATCAGTCTCATATGTCATAAAGATATCTGAAAGCTCAAACAGATGTCTAACACACCGTCTGCTACTTTCTCTGCTTCTTTCAATTCAAGTGATCTTGCCAGGATGATGGAAGGATGAATTCGAGGGGTCACAGTTGTATGGACATTTCAGACCTATTTTGAGTACAGAGGATGTGTATGGCTATAGAAAGGAGCCTTGAGGAGAGTGCATTACCCTCCAGGCCCTTCACTATGTTTCTGGGTCACTGATGCTATCAACATTGGAGGTAAGTGAGCAGAGGGTAGGGGATTTCAAGCATGGGTGGGTCATGCACTTTCTGCGTCTTTCTGTATAATCTCAGGAGCCAGATTCCCTCTTAGCCTCCTCTGCTGTCAGCCGTGAGTGCTTTCCTCCCTCCCTCCAGCATGTCGGACCGCCTTTTCCCCCTAACACTTTTCCTTCCCCAAGGTCCTTACAGCCAGGACCAGCACCATCTTCAGTTTGAAGCCTAGTGTATCTAGAGCTGGAATAAGCTCAGAGACAGCTCCACAGAGTATCAAGGATCAGGAAAAGAAAACCATCTGATCCTTTTCAAATATACGAATCCCCACAAAAAGAAGAGCCAGAGAGGTTATAATGTGGTTTCCCAACAGGAAATAGTCCCCTGCTGCTGGAATCGGGGTGGGTGGGTATGTGTGAGCATGTCAACCAACCAGACATAAACACACACACACACACACACACACACACACACATTGACCTGAGGGAGGAGCCAGAGCCACTGAAAAGGTTAAGCAAAAGGGCTGACAGGGCTTCTGTCCCCACACATCAGTCTGTGGGGATGCTCAAAGACACCAGCTGTACATTACTACAATGCATTGTAAATGAATGAATGAATAATTACTTCATGAGATTCAGAATTATCAAGCTGAAACCATGAGGCTCCTGTCATTGTATCTTCTAGTTTCATTCTCCTTTGCACTGGGCCCTCTCTAGTTGTCTTGGGCTTTCTCCCTCAAGTCAGGGAAATATGTCCCTGAAAAATGAGGGGAAGAGAGAAACAGGAGTCTCAAGCATGAAACAGAGACAAAAAGCAGGGAGTTTATGGTTCTGTTTCTATGCTGTGTGTGTCATCCACCTCTCCTCTGAGATTGAGTGCTGATCTTGAAAATAGATACAGCACAGTATGGCATCAGGCCCTCTCTGTGTGGCTACTGGCTATGATCACAGGAAACTGAGGAACGAATTGGGCATAGTTAGGAAGAATCATACATACCACAGCAAGGCACTGTATTCCCATGGGCTCACAGGAATGTCAGGCCCAACACAGTAAAGAGGTTAGTCAAGGACAACAAAGCCCTCTCCCTGCTCCTTTCAGGAAGTCTCCATCCCTCTACCTAACTTTTGGGATTCTCCTGCAGAGGCATCTATAGGAGACATACACACCGTCAACACCCACTTCACACACACCTTCATGAAAGATACATACATACACACTTGATACAGTTAACAAGTTTGTCTTTCCCCATTTCTTGCAATTCCCCTTATCTAGCATTGGCAGGATTGATGGCTTGTCTTTCCCATTTGTTGCAGCTTCCCCTCCCCTTGGGAAGAAAAAAAAAAAAAAAAGCTGGCGCCACCGGTTTCCCTGCAGACCCTTCCCCCTCGCCCTAAGGAAAACAAGTTGGCAATCACCCGTCTCTGTGCCTTGACACCTTCCCCTTCCCTTAAGATGAAGGAGCTGACACCCATCCATCTCCCTGTTGAGCTGGCGCCCACTTGTCTCTGTGCGGACCCCTTCCCCCTCCCCTTCACAGACCCCTACCTATCTCCCCCTGTATAAATACCCCTGCCCACTGCCAAAGAGCAGGACGGTGGTTTTTCGGACATGAGTCTGCCGCCCTCCTCATTTGTCGACAAATAAAACCGCTTTCCTTTTCCTCAAACTCAGTTTCCTTTTA